TCTGTCTGGTCAATCCACAAAGTAAACTCTCAAATTGGAACCAGAGTTGAGGGTGTGTAGCTCCTACACTAGACAACACAGCACAGGAATAAGCAAACCCAACTTGATTGTCAGAGCTGAGGCTCACCATCCCTAGTATATTCCCACCCTCACTGTGTTTCAGGAGGCGTTTTTGCTCAAAAATTTTTCCAAAACTCTTCCTTAATATTTTTTGGACTCCATCTAACTAATCAGATTTTCTGGGCAACATAAGAAGGTTTATTGCAATAGCTGCAATTAGCTTGACCAAAATACCAAGCAAGTTGCATTTGTACATATTCGCCATTGTTTTTCTTGATCTGAAGGCCAGAATGTGAAGCTGCTGGATGGGCACTATGGTTTCTGAAAATGATCCTGGTTTAAAAAAAACAACTTAGTTACAGTTCATCAATTTAATGAACTCTTCCTGTTAACAGATTAGAGTTGCTATTCTCTCTTAGGTCCAACTCTGACTCTTTCAATGAATATAAACTCTAAATGGGGTTCTATTTCTATTCTACTTTGTGAGGTTTCTAAAAATAAGCCATTGCTACTGAAAAGCAGACATCCTGGGTTCTAGTCCTTAGTAGTTATCCGGGCAACTCTGTCATTATGTCTCCTGTAAATGAGCGAGTTGGACAGGAAGTGTTTAAAGTCCCTCCCAGCTATACGGTTTTAATTCATAATTTAAGATGTTGCTGTTTTATATTCCACATTAGATATAGACATAGGTTCCATGTTAATGACAATAGCACTTTTAATTTCCCTATTAAAACCTATTGCATGACATGGGGTCAGTTCAAATTGAACCTGTGTTTCCTCATGTGCCATCTGCTACCAAAATGCACTGTTCATAGTTCAGGCAGCAGAGTAGTCAAAGAACAAAAGCTTTTCTTGGCACTTCCTGTACAAATGGCATGTAGATGACTATGAGATTACTCCTAAGAAAATACTGCAAATAATAGCTGTCAACTCATAGCAATTAACAATATGCATTATTAAAAGCAAACACAACTTCCTGTCCATGCATTCTACCTCATGAAATCTTTTTTGATACTTTTGGTTCCCATACATGAACTAGTATTTTTTACATGTGCTCCACAATATTTCTGCTGCAGAATTCAAAAATTACATAGATCACTAAAACCCACAGATCATCTTCAAATCTTCTGTTAGCCACTTGTTAATAATCTTCCCACTGTTTTTGCCAGAGATACAAACAAGTAGCATTATCAATTTGTGTTCCCTACACTTTTCCAGACAAGCTTGCTTTTTAAGGGCCTGCAAAAACGAGACATTAATTCCTCTGGACCTGAATCTTTGGGAAGTTGACCAACAGCATAAAATGCTCAGTCTTTTTCTTCCTTGCTAACACACCCCTTTTAAACTACTGCTTGTGGTCCTTTTGTCCCTGATTTAAACCTATTGTTTAAAAAAAAAAAAAGATTTATTGATTTATTTTTGGAGAAATGAGAAGAGAGGGAGAAAGAGAGAGAGAGAGAAACATCCATGTGAGAGAGGTTACCTCTTGTACATGCCCCGACTGGTAACTGAACCCACAACCCAGGTGTGTCCTGACTGGGAATTGAACCAAGGACCCTTTGTTTTGTTAGGATGACGCCCAACCAATTGAGCCACTCCAGTCAGGACTAAACCTATATATTCTTTGACTACATATATAATCCTCAATTCTCCCTCCTCTTACAATTCTGCTATACTTTACAGAATATGATTTATTATTATTTTTAATCCTTACCTGAGGATATATTTATTGATTTTAGAGAGAGTAAGAAACATCAACGGGCTGCACAACCCCCCACCTCATCTCGTATGTGCCCTGACCAAGGATCGAACCTGCAACCTAGATATGTTTCCTGACCCGGGATCAAACCAACAACATTTCAGTGCATGGGACGATGCTCCAACCAGCTAAGCGACCCGTCTGGGGTTATTATTTTTTTGAATTCTCTGTTGCATCACATTTTAATTCCCTGGGTACAAAAATAATACAATGTTTGAGAATTCATTATGAAAAAAGTAAAAGCAAAGATGATTCTCCCCTACACGTGGCAGCTGAAAATGCAAAATTGTTTGAAAATTTTACTATGTGATTACTACGACTCACATGACATCTTTGATTAGACTCAAAGACCCTTAAGATTGAGAGAATCCAAACTCCTTATCTTACAGGGAAGAAAACCAAAACCCAGAGAGGAGCTAAGTAGCTTGTCCAATGTAATATATCTAACTGGATACATTTATAATCTCACATAAAATTACACATTATCACCTAGGATGGTTCTTTTAACAGTTGAGAAAAGCTCCATGAAGTCTGTTCCCAAAACATGTGCAGGCAGCCACAGAGACAAAATCCTGTGTCTGGAGTCATTCCTTTAGATCAAAACATTATCTCAGAAATTGTGAAATAAATGTAACTGGTTTACATTTATTTCGGGAAATAAATGTAAACGGGAAACGGGAAAGAATAAGAAAAAACAATACTTCGGAGTACTAGGTTCTAAGTCAGAAGGTAAAAAAAAATCACACATAATCAAAAATAACTCTTGAAATCACCCATACTCATAAATCACCCAGAGAGTCCAATACTTATGGATTTATTCATTGGGAACAGACCTATATCTTCTTCTAATGAAGCCAACAAGCCAGGTTTCCTTCAGTAATAGAGTAGGCATTTCTTTTGTTTTTCATCAGATGAAATAGCTGGATAGAATTAAAAGTTGGCTGTTCCGAAAACACCTATCTTTAATTTAAACACAGGACTCGCACTCTGCCAGGGTAAGACACTCAGCCTTAAAAAGGGACTCAGAAATGAAACAAAATCGGAGTCCTGTCTCATTCTATTCTTACCAAGCAACCTATTCTCACTGTGTAAAACACCTGGCCTCATGCACTATTTAACTGTCATTTCTCTCCCACTCTCCTCTTGATTTTGCCTACAAGTACAGGAGAATTTGTGCCATTAAATGTGTACATGATCTGACTTCATTGTACTGCCCTACTCCCGTATTTGCATATGTATATAATGATCTGGGTTAGACACAAGATGTGTAAGTATTGCAAGAGAGATAATTAAAGTCTGGACACAGGCCCACATGAGAAGGGCAGGTCAAGTGCAGTAAAGAGTCAAAAAGCAGCCTGAGGACTCCAGGGTATGTACAAGTGACGAGGGTTGAAGGGAGTAGAGAGATCACTTTTTATGGGATAGAATTTGTTCCCCCGCGAAATCTTCACCATGTTCATAATCTGTCCTTGTATTGGGTTTGACAAGACACATACTAAATATTGGAATACATCCCATTTGATTGATTTTAATTAATGTTCAGGGTTATACTCTCAAGCATATAAGTAACCATATAACTATAGAATTCATACTCTGAAAGAAATTAATCATGAGAATATTTTTCAAATAAGAACTTGATCATGAACAAATGACCTTAGAGTTGAAATAACTAAACCAATACTATGAAGTTCACGCAGCAGGAAAGCCAGACTGCCACAAAAGAGCCATGTGGAAAAACTGCACAGAGGAATAGCGATTATGAACAAGAGTTCTTCTACCTTAGAAAGAAAGGTTTTAAGCTGTGGTGAGCTCATTAAGAAAAGAAAGGGTATGCTCACTACAAAGTTTACCTGTCTCTAAAGAAATAATTACTTCCTGTTAATAAAACATCCATGTCAATGGAACCAGTTCCTATAAACATAAATTGTCTTAATCACAAGCAGATAAAAATCTTCCTGAGCCATGTTTAGCTTAACTCCATTGTAGGGGTCAGCATAAAGGAAACATGAGTCCTTGGGCTTGCAATTGAGTGTGCCTGGTGTCCTGATAAATTAGCCCAAATCCACACTCGGGTGGCAGAGGGTTCCCCCACCAGGTCCTCTCATAGGACTCCAGGCATTTTCACAACTTGACCACACAAAAGAACACACCAGGCAAGTACAGGAACGCCTAGCCCTTTCGTAAGATTGTAGCTATACAAACACAGGTGTCTACATAGCAATTTTAATGAACTTTGCATTGAATATTCCAAAGAACAGTAGCGACCTCAGCATTCCATCCATTGTCTCAATGGAGAAAGCTACCCTTAAAGAGACCACAAAAGAAAAAAAAAAACCCAATAAACAAAGGTTTATGAAACACTTCAACAGCCACATAAAATACTTGTTCTAGAGAGACAATATATTTTTCAAACCACAAAGCACATTAAGCAAAAATGTTTAATTAACCTTAATTGGGTCCCTTCATTACTTGACAATGTAAATGGATGGAAACTACTACTTAAATATTCAAACCTTCATTTTACATGCAAGTGGCTTCCAGCAAATGATAAAGCAATATTCCGGTGTGAGTGTGAAAGATGGCAGTGAATTCTGGTCCTTTATAAAGGAGGAGTCAGATTCCACCAGTCCCCGGTTGGTTTAACTGCCAGGCTTCCAGCGAGTTGTTTTATAAAAGGGGGCCTCGCCCTAATAAATTAAGAGTGAACAGTGGAAATGTCAAAATTGCCTGCACTCAATGAAGCTCTAGACCACTTGGTGTCCAGTCTTCAGAAAAATGACTCCTTAAAAAAAATTATGTTGTGCAATGGTATCTTTTTAAAAAAATAATAAGGATGATGATGATGATGATGATAACTGGGAAGATCTACATGAGCTGCCTGCAGCCCGTGTAACTTGCCCAGCTGAAGGTGGTGGTGAAGTTAAAGCCAGTTCTCTCCCTTTCGGAGGTGCGCGCTGGCAGCCAGGGAAAGCCACCGGGTTTCCAACTCCCTACGGGTTTGACGGGACTAGGATTAGGACTGGGATTGGCTCGTACGAAGCCCCGGGTGGCTCAGCCAGGGGCTTGAACTGTCCCTCGCAACCTTTCTCCAACGCAGACCCCAAGTTATAAATGCAACTCCCCGAGAGCACAATGACAAGAAAGCACACAAAAGGAGCAAGGCGGCCGCTCCCATCCTTACCTTTGACTTGACTTTCATATTCGGCTATGATCTCTTTGTCCTTTTTGAATCTGCTCGGAGTGGACATTATCCAGCTGTTCTGGGCTTGCTTTCAATGGGCAAGTTCGGTTAGGTGGTCACAAACCAGTCTCCTTGCACAGGCGGAGAGTTGTACTCTCACACGCCGGGAACCCACAGGCAGCACCGACAGGCGGTAAAGAAGGACGAAGAGGAGGAAAAAGGGAGCGAGCCGAGTACTAGATTAACCCGGGCGCTGGCACCATACTCCCCGTATCGAACTGCCGACGGCGATCGGGAGGGGAGCCCGGGGCTCGGAGCCAGAGAGGCCCGACGCTCAGGCAAACTCCAGCGAGCGAGTAGCGGGGGGCGTTTCCCTGCTTACCCCACCCGGAGCCGGGCCACTTCCTCTACGACCGCTGGGCGGACGCGGTGTTCGCGCCGGCGCTCCGCACCATTGTTACAAACCCGCACAGTGCGCTCGGGGCAGGGCCAGCGGGAGGGGGCGGGCGCCGGAGAACGCTCCCACCGCGGGCGCAGCGACCCTCCTCCCTGCCAGCTCCAGACGCCGGCTCGGGCGCTCAGTGGTCCCGCCGGGGCTGGGGATGCTGCTGCCGCGCCCGGAGCTCTTCCGTCGGCAAAGGCTGTTGCTGCCTCCCGGGGGGTCAGAAGAAGCCGCAGTCCTAAAACGAGTCCAGTCGAAGCCAGGAGGGCGGTTGCAGCGCCGTTCGAACGCGTCCTGGGAGCAGCCCCGCCGGAGTTTAGGTCTCCAGAGCCCGCTCAGCTAGGGGCCTCTGCCTCTGGCCAAGTGGAGCCGAAGCTACCTCCTTCTCCTTGTCTCCCTTTCCGCTGCTGCCCCCAGGAGGCCGCCGGTGACACTCGCACCGGGAGGAGCCGCGCCCCCAGTGGCCGCCAAGTTGCCGGCGCGACCACGGCCCGCAGCTCCTGGCGCCCAGCGAGAAAGCTGCCGTGGTGGCGGCCAGGCAGACCGCGCGGGACTCCGAGAGGTGGGGCGAGGCTCGCGGGAGGGGACAGCGCGGTCACCCTAGCCGTTCTCCGTCCCCGCCCCGCCGGGCGAGGAAACGCGTGGTCGGCTCGGGAAGATGGATGCCTCCTGTGGCCAAGCGCAGCCCCGCCCCGTCCCCCGCGCTGCCTCCGCTGTGCTCCGTGCGGGCCGGGACCGCAGCCCCAGCAGCTGGAAAACCCCGTCGCAACCAGGGGGATTCTTTTTGGCCGAGGGTGGTAGATTTGAAGGAGGCTCTTTTCAGGCTCCATTGCAGAATTGCGGAGTTGAATGTCTCCATGACAGAAAGGGATGTGACTCCGAGATGCTGGACCCTCGTAAGAAAACTGGAGACTGGTGAACGATGTGGCTCTTAAAAATCAAAGGATAGCGAAGCTCCTCAATCGAAACGGAGAAAATACCTACCTCGAACACAATATCCTCCTCCTAGAAGTAGCTCGGGTGGCTAGGATGGTGGGAAAGACGGGGTGTGGGAATAGGTCACACCTAGGAGGTCACTAGTTTTTTGACAGGACACATTTACCGCTTGTGACTTTTCCTGACTCCTTTCAAGCCCCTCACAAATATTACAGGCCTCGTTTGTCAAAGTGGTGTGTCCAAAGGTGTGCCCAGTATGAAAATGTTTTCCCTGCAAGATCTGAAGAGAGTAGGGAATTAGGTTTTGATCATTCATTCATGTATCCAGAGATAAACTTTCAAGTTCTTCCTGTGGGCCAAACACCACGCTAAGAGCTAGGGATTCAGTGATTAGGACCCAGCCCTAAAGCATCATTACAGTCTATTGTAATGAATAAATAAATAATTATAGGCAGCACAATAACGCCGTAAGAGAGAGAGAGGAATACTCCCAGCTTTGGGAGCCCTGAGAAAGGAAAAAGGGACAGAATAAGAGATTTGGGGAGAAAGGCTTTCTAGAGTAGTGGTATTTGAACTGGATTTAATGGATGAATAGTGAGTAATTCGCCATCCCAAAGAGTTACGGGTTGCATTTCACGGGTAAAGGGGGGGGATCATACTCGGGGCAATTGCAAATGGAGTTACTAGATGTCCTCCACTAAAATACCAGATCTCTGATAGGTGAAAAATAGTAATAAAAATGCATGTTTCAACTGATAGTGTGTGCACGTTGTTTTTAATTGTACAGCTTCAAAGATTTTTTTTAAAGCAAATCTCTTTCTTTATAACAACCAAATAGAATATAAGAAAAAAATTAAAATTTTAATTAAAGTTTTTTTTTTCCATTTTGCCACACAGGAGATTTGCTATGGAACATTGAATGCCCTAATTTCTTGTGTAAGAGTGTAGGGTGAAGAACCAGAATGTCTAAAGAAGAGGCTGGGAAGGAAGGTCAGGCATTCTGTGCTGAGCTCTTGGGCCTGGTTCTGCGGACAGCAGGGAGCCTTTTAAGTGCAGAAGTGTCATAATCACACAGATAACTGTTGGCAGTGTGGAAAAAATGGGTTGAGCATAGGGAGAGAGAGATCAGAGGCAAGCATTGTGCTTTAGTGATTATTGTAGCCAAATCTATATGTGATTCATATCATCCATCCATGGTGCTACTGGAATTTATATTTGCACCTGAGAAGTGCAACTTATTATCTCAGTTTTAATCTTCTTTGAAAGAAAGTTAATATTTAAAATTTAGGAACAGTATCTTAATTATATTTGATTTCATAATGGTATCCTTTAAGAGTCAATAAATTTTTTTGAATGTTAATGTCTCAGTATCAGTACCCACTGTTTTATTGTTGCTGAGGAAAACATTTTGCATACATTCTTACAAGAACCCTACAAGGTGGACAGCATTGTCCTGATTTTGCAGAGGAGAATCTGGAAAGTTCGGTAAATGTATAAAGGCTTGCGTAGGCCAGAATTCTAGTCTGTATCAGCTTGCCTCCAAAGTCAGTTTTCCTAATTTTCCATTCTGCCTCCTATGAACTTACGGTCTTTTTAAACATGTGAAACAGGTTCACCTATAGTGAAATGTGTTTGAATGATTCATAGTTTTCCCTTCGTGAAGCTCTTCTGATCCAGCCGTTCAGTCTGATTAACAGTCTGATTGTTCTTTTCATAGTTTTCTTTTTCAGGTTTTCCTTATCTTTCCCATATTTAAGAGTCTGCTTTGCCTTACAAAGGTAGATATGGAAAATGCCTTTGACTTAAAATTCAGAGAGCCAGGGGTGGCCCAGGTTTGGGAGATAGGTAACAATGATTCTAATTCTGTGACTTTGCTCCACCTTGTGGTAACTGTTTTCTTAGCTATAAAACTGGGGTGGCTGTGCACTTGGCCGCCTAGAGTTTACCACCCCTGCCACACTACCGCTCTTCAAGGGACGTGTTCTGAGAAATTTGGAGGGCCTGACAGTGGCTAGTATTTTTCTTTCAGGACCACCTCAAATTTCCAGAAGTAGAAATTACTATACCCTCTGACCATATACCCTGGAGCAGGTAGGGATCTTTGCAGTCACAAAATAAACTACATCATACTACAGTTTCACTTTGGCCCAGTGGTAATTTAAATCATTGTTTAAAAGTTAAATACAAATAGCTCTGACTGAGTGGCTCAGTTGTTTGGAGCGTCATCCTGTACACCAACAGGTTGCAGGTTCAATTCCTCATCAGGGCACGTACCTAGGTTGCAGGTTCGATTCCCGGTCATGGTGTGTGTAGGAGTCAGCTGATTAATGTTGCTCTCTTATATTGATATTTCTCTCCCTCTCCCCCCGCTTCTCTCTAAAAACAATAAAAACATACCCTTAGGTGAGGATTTTTAAAAAGTTAAATACAAACACATTAAAGATTCAATGTCAAATTCACACAATTTTTTAAGCTATGGTTTCAGCATCTAAGAATTTCATGATCAAAGTAGACCATCCTTCTTTCCTTCATGTAAGGGATTTGTTCTCATCTAGCCATTGGGATGGAAAAGTTGATATAGCCGTGCCAATATCCTAGATTTTGTTCTTGGATCCAGTCAGAGCAGCAGAATAGCCACTGTTGTGCAATCATGTCTTCTGTTGTCTGGACTTCTTGACCTTTTGGCCTCTCAAATGCTTGAAGCAGTGCTTTCAGAGAATTGCGTTTTGGTATCATGTCCTGGGGCAGTGTTTTATAAAGTGCAACCTTACATCAGAGTCACCTTGGAGTCTGTTTAGAATTCAGTCACAGGGGACCTCCTCTACACTTAAGGCCACATTTCTCAGCTTTCATGTGCATCCAAGTCACCTGGGAATCTTGTTAAAATAAGTTTGTGATGCCTCCTGGAGTGCGGTCTGAGATTCTGCATTTCTAATAACCCAAGCCATGCTGATAACACTGTCACAAACGCCACACTTTGAGTAGCAAGGACCTACAGGGCCCAAACTTTGGCTGAGGAGGAATTCCCCATTTGATTCTCCTGAGTCAGAATCCTTGCCCAAGGCCAAGGGTTAGTAAAAGGATATCCTCACAAAAGATTTGCTGCATTTACTCAAGTAATGTTGACCTTGTTAAGATTTTTTTTTTTCCAATTTAATGTAGCTCTAAGAAACTGGACGTTTTTCTCTTCCAAGATAATAAAAATTTTGTTTTAACCTTTTCATCTAAAAAATGGAGATAATAACTACAACCCAAATAGGTTGTCGTAGCGTAAATGCAGGGTGGGCAGGGCAGGGAGCATAATGGGGGAAAAATGGGGACAACTGAAATTGAACAACAATAAATTTTTTTTTTTAAAAGAGTAAATGCAAAGTATATATCAAGCACTTAGCACCAAGCTACACACCTAATAAGTGCTAAATAAATATTGGTTGTTCTTGTCATTGTTATTATTAATTTGGTGCAGCAAGTTAACTTCCATGCTTATCAAAAAACTCTTGCTGTCTTGAAGGATCTTATAGTGTGTTTACCTGTGTCTTACCTCCTTGTTTAAATCTCCTATCTTAATTGAGAATTTCTTTGGTCTTAATGGGTTTGTTTTGTAATTTATTAGTTTACTGGGTCTGCATTTCCTATATACTACCTCAAATCTTTTATAGACTGATTTTATCGTCTATTCAGTTCTAATCAACAAATATTTATTGCTGTTAATGTAACAGAGTGAAATGCTTAGCCTCTCTGACTCCATCTTGTTCAAGCCTGCTCCGTTCCCATGGCCTTCAGGTTAATAGCTTCTGCTTAGCCTTGCTATAGACATGCTAATCATTAGAGGAATTGTGCCTT